TCACCATGGTAATTCTTGGCCTTTGTAGACTTGAGAACATGTGGTATTAGTTTGTGTGGTTCTTGATTTGCTTCTCCTTGTTTGGAAAAAGGAAATGGATTCCAGATCAATATCTCAACATCAGTTATTTGGGGGAAAGCACATAAAAAAGTGGAAATCTTCTGTACACAGGTCACCCACCAAGCACTTCTAGAAACCTGAGCAAATGTGGAATCCCTTTGTCTAATACTTTAGATATTGAAAAAGAGGGAGCAGAGGATAGAGAGAGTCCTCTGGAACTGTTTTCATCTGGTAGATAAAGTGAAATGAAAGTTTTGAGGGTAGAGCCAGCTCCTGCTAGTTTGCATTGAAATTAGTACTTTATCATATGAGGAACTTACACTAGGTGGTATTCTGACTTAAAGAGGACTCAGAAATGCCCAGAATCTGACTTCCAAGATGTTTACAAATGTGTTCTAAATGCGATAAATCACATAAAAAAGTTATTGTTGAACTCTCTAACTGGTGTAATACTCCATTTAGAGATACAGCTTGGCAGAAAGACATCCAAGGTCATGGCATGTAATTGCTATCATCTTCCAACTATTTCTGGGATTTGGCACCATTTCCTCCCTGCTGAATATGGAAGTTGGAATGTCTTTGCACACATGTATCACCAACACTTAAGCCAACACTCCTTTGGTATGTGGACTATTTTCCATTGGAACATACCTCACTCCTTATATTTGTGAATCACTTTCCATTAAATTCCTTTTCTAAATAAAATGTGGGTAAGTTGTACGGACTTGTATAAATATATTTAAATAATAGGAATAATATAGCTAATCAAGTTTATATATAAATTGAATTATCTTTAAAAGTGCTATCAAAAAGTACACTCAGAATTTATGGAATATAAAATGTTTTGTTTAAGAATACAGTCTTCAACAATTTGTACATTTTCTTTATTAAATAATCTCACTATATGTTTTGAAATTCAAATACATTGAATTGTCTTTTAAATAAGAATTTTAAAAAGACTAATACTCTACACTATGTCTGTACTTCTCTCTAATGAAAGTTCTATTTCTCACTCTTAAATAGAAAGCAAAAGAATGGAAACAAGAAAAATACCAGGTTTCTTTATCGTGATAGGTTTGTAGGAATTATAGCTTATGTAATCTAATTCCAATTTGTCAGTTACTTAAAATATTTAACCTGTAGCTGTGTTTGCTTCCTACTAGATAGGTGTACAGTGAGCAAAAACGTTGGCTCCATTTTTTGTTATTTCTGAAACTTCCAATAATTTTATTTTTCTTCAGTTCTCCCAAGCTTGAGATAATGAGTTTCTCAAACTCTGTGTTCAACAAAGAGCTTGGCAGGCTTTAACTTCCTGATATGGGCCAGATAGTTAATAATGACAAGATCCTCTCTAATATCTAGTCCTTAAATGACTCCTTATACTTTTTGGTGATTGTGCCCACTATACCAGCATGTTGATGTGTTTAGAGCTCTTCTCAGGATGACTGAGGGCCTGAGCCCAACACACGGTTCACAGCTGTGTGACCACAGCGGAAATCGATGCCATGTTCAGAAATGATTACATATGTAAACCATCATTACACAATTATTTTTTCATTTAAAGCTGTAATTCTGTCCTTTGTCCATAATTTTGTGGTGGTATTTTGTTTTGATATTTAAATTAGTTATTTTTTTTTCTTTCTGGAGTAGCAGCATAAACTAAAATGGAAACAACAAGTTCTAGTGAAATAGCAATTTTTATGTTTGCCTCTCAAAACATTCATAAAAATTACTTTTAAATAACATTAGTAAGGACTTTGGCAAAAACACTAAAAAGAAATGAAGTAAACATACCAAAAATAAAATACAAAAACTTGGGGGGTGGGGAACAAGTTCCATTTTTATTGTTATTTCTTTGAGAAAGCTTATACATATGTTGTTTATTATTTTCCCTCACCAGGATGCCATAACAAGGGTTAATTATTCCTGTTTTACTTTTACTTTTATTCTTTTTAGTCATTTTTCTGCTTAAATACAAAGTTGTTCAGATTATATTTTTATATAGGCCAAGTTATCTAACAGTTGAGAAAAAATAAAATGGTTTTATTTAGCCATTTAATATCTAGTTTTTAAATGGTCCTATGTACTTTTTATTAGTAAGGTGAAATAGTGAAAATCCCAAGAAAAACAAAAATAATCTGGTTTGTAATCTTACTTGTTCTGAAAAATGGAACATGCATACCTGATTTCTTAATTCACAGTCCCAAACATGTTGACTATTTGATCATATGTTGCATATTTGGAGTAAATATCACTCCTGCATTTTTATACATCATCTATAGGGTTGTTTTTTTTAAACTATCAATCTAAAAAGAATGTCTGAGAGGGATTTCAAAGGAATGTACTGAGAAATCATCACTTATATATTCTCCTCAGCTTTCTAGATAGTGGTATTGATATTAAAAGAACAATAACATACAGTTGTATAATATTTGGGAGTACTCATAATTAAGGTACATATTTATAGATGTGTTTTCTATGTGTATGATGGCTTTCTCCAATCTAGGCATATTTTCATATCAAGACTCCATACAATCGCTGTCATGCAGTAGAATTTTTTTCAATACCACTTAGCTGACCCAAGATTTAAATGTCTTCTCCAACAGAGCTCCAAGTAATAGAAAGGTCATACATAGCAGTGGAATTGAATGGGAGAAGATATTCACTAATGACACAATCTAAGGGGTTAATATCCAAAATAAAAGGTACTTATACAACTTAACAGCAAAAGGACAAACAATCCAATTAAAAAATGGGCAGAGGACTTCAATGACACTTCCTCAAAGAGGATACACAGATGGCCAATAGAAAAGCTACTCAACATCATGAATCATCAGGAAAAGGTAAATCAAAACCACAATGAGATATCACTTTACACCTATCATAATGGTAATCATCAATAAATCAACAAGTGTGATGAGGATGTGGAGAGAAAGAAAACCTCATGCACTGTTGGTGGGAATGCAACCTGGTGTAGCCACTATGGGAAATAATATGGATGGTCCTCAAAAAATTAATAATAGTATACTCATTTTCATTTGACAAAACTCCAAAGATACCCATATGCCCAGTAAAGATATAAAGATTCAGATGAACCGCTGGGTGTACTGTTAAAATACAGAAGATAGGTGCCAGTTTTTCTCTGCAGTTTTCCACAACTTATGGTATGAGCGTATGTTTAGGAAGCCAAAGAAACCAATTTTCTACAATGTCACCTACTTAAGAAATATCTAGTCACAACTTACCACATTCTGCTTCTTCCATTTTTTAGTTGAGAAAAGTTAATACATGTTATAAAGTGAAAGTTTATGATGGGCAGAAATTTTTTTTCTTTTTCCTGTCTCAGTATTTGCAACCATCTAGTTAGAAGTAGCATTTGACAATTCATCAGAACAGGATTCAATTCAAACTCTAAAAAATGAAATGAGAACATTTCACTGGAACAATAAGAAACTAATGAGAATTGATAGAAAATTCAGTTTTTTTTCTTTATTTCTTTCCCCCAGAAATGATTTTGGTTTAGAGAAAGGACAGCAATTCACAAGGGTGGATCGTGGCTTGAAAGGAGAAATTTAGGACACGAATAGGCATTGAAATATGTTACAAAATTTGGAATAAAAACTGAAATTCATGGGAAAAAATATTTCTCCCACTGCATGTGTTGTATCTAAAGATTAATATGTCTTTCAATTGTTCAAGGTTTATGATTTTCTATTAAAATATAAGCATCTCTTAGGATTGCACACCCAAAATCATAACAATATTTGCTTAGAACTCATGCTATTAATGAGCCAAGGAAAATGTTCTGGAGAATGTGGGTAGTTGAATGGGCAACAAAGACTGGAAGACAATTGCTGTGCAAAAAATGTAGAACACACAGAGACAAACCATCTCTTTTGCAATTTGTAACATTACACCAAGATTTATTGTATGGATTATTGTATTGGAAAGAGCAGCTTATAAAATGCAATGCTTGCACAGCTTTGACCTTGGTTTTCAGAATGCAAAGCATTCTAGAGGTCATCCTTTCTTCATGGGATGATTAGTTTTTATTTGACAAAAATCAGTCACTTTGGAGTTGAGCGAAGCTGTATGTCAATGAATTGGTGGCAATCAGATATGAGATCAACACAGCTGTTGGAACCATAACAGCCAGGAAGATTCTAGTCAGAGGCCAGGCAGAAGAGAGGAGCAAAAAGCATTGTTGTCACATGGGGTGACACCAGCGAAGTTTTATTAATATATTCTTTCAAGAGATATTTAAAATCAATGCCATGCTTTTAGAAAGTATAAAATATTTTACTCTTAATATGGGTAGGATTTGGCTGTTCTTATACCTTTTTCATTCAAAAGCAAATACTACTTTCTTTGAAAAGTGGGCATATAAAAGCTTATCTTGTGACTCTGAATCAACATATACCATATTGCATATTAAGATTTTGTGGATAATATATTTATTTGCATACAGAAATATGTATTTCTATGATACATTTCATTGCTTTATTTATAGAATATATATATTAGGCATACAGCATATCCCAGGAAGATACATTAAATATGCACACAGTTCATGCTGCAGTGTGCACCCTCTTAAGAGAAGCATATTGGAGAGGCATGGTATTGTATATACATGCTGAAAATACACCTTGTACAAGTCATCTGGCTTTGGATGCTTCCCTAATCTATTTGCAACATCAGTGCTGTGGTTGTTGAAAGGGATATTATCAAACTGGGAGAAAGGCAAGTATCAACTAAGTAGGAGAAAATAAAAGTAGATTGCATCTCTATATGTATGTTGTTATCAGTTTGAACTCCCATTTTCCCCAATATCAGAATAAAAAAAAAGCAGTGAATGGACAGAGTAGGATTATGTGGGATGCTGGAAAGCTAATCTCATGTGACTTTTTATTTTATTTTTAGATTTTACTTTTACTTTTATATTTTAGAGCAGGTTTAGATTCACAGCAAAATTGAGTGAAAGGTACAGAGAGTGTTTATATTCCCTCTGGTCCCCACACAAGCACAGAGTCCCCCACTGCCAACATCTGCATCAGAGTAGTGCATTTGTTATAATGGCTGGATTTTCACCAAATGTCCATAGTTAACATTAGGGTTCCTTCTTGGTGTTGTACATTCTATGGGTTTGGACAAATGTAAAGTGACTTACTATATTTTATCTTAACACTTGGGATCAGCCATTAAATTAATGATGAACTGGTAAAAAGGCAATCCTTTCTTTTCTTTTCTTTTTTTCAAGAAATAACCTGGTTTTTTCACATATTTAATCTCCTCTTCTTATAAGACCACTCTGTGATATTTACATTATTGCTACAAGAAGAAATTCTTGACTGATAGTCACCTTTCCAGTAGAAACAAAGGAGATGAATCATACTGCTTCTGAAAGAGGCCCTTAATGTTTTTGAAAGGACAACCGTTAACTCCAATAGAAACTGACTATGTCAATGCAACCATTTTAATGGCCAACTACTGAAACCTCAATTGACTGGATATTGTGGCAATCTAATTAGGCACTAAGATGATGGAAACAATGTGCTATGTACCTGGTCTGGTGGTTCTGGATATGTAGACGTGGCCTGTGTTCCCAGTCTATGAATTACAAATACACCAGACTCAGCGTATGATACATGATTGGTGAGCATGACCTTTTTCAAACAGGTGAGCAATATGCATACAGGATTATTTTTCCATTTATACAAAGCAAGCTCTAGAATCCCTTGAAACAGACCAGGGTTCCTCAACTTCTGCACTATTGACATTTTGAGCCAAATACAATATTTTTTAATGGGGGTGGGTGGGTGAGGCTATCCTGTGTAAGCTGTTTAGAGGCATCCTTGGCCTTTATCCACTAGGTGCCAATAGCCCTTCCCTAAGATGTGACAACCAAAACCATTATTAACTGTCCCCTGGGAGGGGGGCAAAATCATCCCCAGTCGAAAGCCACTGAAATAGATAAATCCAGCAGTAATGAATGCAAACCTTTGAATACAGTCTCTATATCTGTCTAATAATCTACCATTTTTGGTATTCTTCCATTTTTTAAAAAATTCTGGTTGACAAAACTTCCAAGATGTTTCAGTCTATCTTCAATTCCTTTCTTTAATTCTTGATGGTTTCTCTTTCAATAACAGGTGGTGAAGACCAAAAATAAAAGGAACAGAAGGAAGGATGCAATGACAATGAGGAGTAACGGGCAATTTGACTCAAAGTGATCTGGATTGTTGCATACAAGAGATCAGAGTCTGGAATCCTCAATCCTTGGATCCAAAGAGTTCATTCCACTAAAGCTGAATCTACATCATAATAGCGCAAGTTAACAAGTGAAACATTCAGCCAGTCAACTGTTTTGTTTACAGGGAACCAAACACTCTATGGGCTTGATGCTCCTTCCACACAATTTATTCCTGGATTTGAAAAAATAAAATACAAATAAATATCAATTTAAAATGTAAAAGTTTACATTGAAGTCATTGTAGTATGAAGTAATCTGTCTGAAATGATGCTGTGTGTTTTTACATGGAAGATTTTTTTTGGGGGGGAGTAACTAAAGTTATACAACTAGGAGGTTATTTTGATAAAGTTAGGGTTAAAACATTGTTGGCAATTTTCTTCTTCCTGGCTGTTCTTTTTGTTGTTGTTTGTGTTGTGCTTTTGGTTAACTCTCAAAATTGTTGAGATGCCATCAATGAGGCAAGTCACACAAAATAACTAAATTGCTAATGCTAATACTGATTAAGTCATCATGCAGCTCACATAGATATATAACTGGCCAAGGTGAAGACCAGAAACCTAAAGGCAGAATATGAAATTTGAAAAAAAACACTTTTGTAACTTTTATTTCTATTGATTGGATCATCTTTAGAAAATCTAATTGGAAGACTACAGAAAATATAGTAAAACAAAGGGGAAATGAAAATAATTAATTAAATCATGAATAATATAATCTTACATTTATTTGGGGTACCATATAAAAACTATCCACATGGACAAGATTATTTAAAGCCACTGTTTGGGTATTAGTTCCCGACATGACATTCTTATGGCCTAGTATTAGAGAAATGTGAGAATGACCCAGGCACAACCACTACATTCTTGTTTCAGATTCTGCTGATCTCACCTGGCCTCTGTTTAAGTTACCCACTACATGTCAGTCACAAAGACTACTATACTTCTATTGATGGAATTTTGAAGTTAAAATTTTTTAGGGAGACTTGACAATTGAGGAATTTGGAATACATGGTTTCAATAAATGTTTTCTAATTGTTTATTTTTTCTTCTTCTCTCCATTGGATCATAGGATGGTTATAAACAGCCTTATGAGCTGAATGGCTTTCAGGAAGCATTGAGGGGAAGGTCTTACTTCCTTGGGACTGACCCAGAGGTCACTGGTGCTACAGGAGTATATTAATTCTATTCAGAATTCAAAATGAAAAAGCAGCAGCATCTTCCTGCTGACAAAGGCCAGAAGTTCATGTTTTACAAGTTAACATTTTATATGCAGGTCAGGCAGATTCAAGATGAAATAGAATGTTCTTTCAACTCCCCATTTTCTTATCTCAAAATTTGTCTGGCCTCAGTAAACTTTCTCCAACTGTAATGACAATTATTTAACTTGATGAAACCTCAATTAAAAAAAAAAAAATAGCCCTGACCGGTTTGGCTCAGTGGATAGAGCATCGACCGGCGGACTCAAGGGTTCAAGATTTGATTTCAGTCAAGGGCATGTACCTTGGTGTGGACACATACCAAATAGGGAGTGTGTAGCTGATCGATGTTTCTCTCTCATCAATGTTTCTAACTCTTTATCCCTCTCCCTTCCTCTCTGTAAAAAAAATCAATAAAATATATTAAAAAAATAACTTTGGCTTCTCAAACATGTTTATCTATTAGGGAGACTATTCTATTAAAATAAGAGGCTAGTTTGAGAGAAAACCAGATTAGTGAAACCATTTCCCATAAAGGATCATAACTGAACTATATCCTTATAGGCTTTTGTACCACGAGAAAGGCAAAGGACACAGTGATCAAGGGTGAAGTGCCCCCTTTTCATGGCTGTCTCTGGTTTAGTGAAAGTCCTCTATAATTTGTCCTTACACAGTGCAGAACAGTACAAAAACAGTGCCAGAGCAAGAAAAATAACGATATGATCTCATTGGGCTTTTGTTTTCTTTTGATGTTAGGAAAAGCAAAGATAAAATATAAGTATTTATAATATTGCAACCCTCCGCGTAAAACCATAAGAAAAGAGCAATATATGCTTAGCACTCTGAGGTTGTTTCTACACTCTTTTTTTTGTTTGTTTGTTTTATTTCTTTACTGCTCTGTGGCATAATGTCTATTTCTTTATGTGTAAGTCTCCATGTTAGCTTGTAACCGTAGCCTTTCATCCACTTATAAAGACACGTGGGAATAACAACAAAGGTTATTCTTCTTCTTGTGCAGAAACTGATAAAATTGCAGATTCGAAAGCCCTTCTCCAAGAGACTGAGAAAATGTAGAGCATCCTTACATCCACATTCCCACCGTGTGGCTTTTGTGGTCTCATTGCTCCTACATTGGCAGGGCTCATGAGGTGAGAGTTTCTCAGACTGGAGCGTAGGCACAAGAGAGCGTCCCTTTTGAGCTCCTTAATTGCACATCCCTAATAAGACTATAAAGTGCAATGGCAGAGATTTTAAAACTAGCTCTTTGACTCCTCTTCTTCTCCCCAAGTTCCCCTTGACCACCTGGTTCCTTTGTCCCAAAAATGTTTTACCTCGTTGCGCCTATGTTCTTGTAATGACACATGAGAAGGTGCTTGAAGGTCTTCTTGAAGGTGGCATTGCAAAGTGCATAGCAGGCGGGGTTGATGGTGCTATTGATGTAGCAAAGCCAGTAACCAATGGTCCACACTGTGCTGGGGATGCAGGGTGCACAGAAGGTGTTGATAAGCACCATGACGTTGTAGGGGGCCCACGTGATGATGAAAGCCAGCAGAATCGCTAAGATTGTCCTGGTCACTTTCTTTTCCCGGGAAGGAGGGGGCTTCTTTTTGGCAGGCTGCTTCGTCATCTTCACAATCTTGCGAGCTACCATGCTTTGTTTTTCATCTCCATTCTGACCTGAAGAACCAACTAGCTCCACTGTGGTATTGGTCGGGGCACACGAGTCCCCTTTCTGGGTCTTGGTGACGATTTTGATACACGTTTGCTTCGAGTTCTCATCTTTGGAATAGCCCAGGGAAGTAGAAACGGTGTTTTCATCCTGGGTTATTTCATCATCTCTCAAGTTAGAGGCGACAGCACTGACAGAGGTGGAATCATTGGAGCTTTCTTTCTCCTCCGCCTGGACACAGTTTTCAGTCACGGCATCTCGGGGGGCTTTGCCATTCTGCATTTTGTTGTGTTCCAGGCCGTCATCACTGCCAGGTGTGTTGTTGTTGTTTGGCTTCACTCTCCGTCCTTGGACCAGACTTGGAGACACTGGATCTTGGTTGGCCGCAGGCTCCTTCTTGTCCTTCTTTATCCTGCTCTTACTGGCTCGGGATATGTGCCAGTAGAGCACAGCCATGATGATCACCGGCAAGTAGAAGGCTGCAATGGCAGTGCCAAAGGTGACAGCAGCATTGGAGAAGAACTGAATGTAGCATTCCCCATCCTGCACAGTTCTCACCCCTACAATGAACTGCCAGAAGAGGATCGCCGGAGCCCAGAGGATGAAGGAGAGGACCCAGGCAGCTGCAATCATCATGCCTGCCATTTTCGTGGTCCGCTTGACAGGGTAGGTGAGCGGCTTTGTGACACAGAAGTACCTGTCAAAGCTGATGATGAGCAGATTCATCACGGAGGCATTGCTGACCACATAGTCCAGAGCTAGCCACAGGTCACACACCACAGGTCCCAAAGGCCAGTAGCCAATCACAGTGTAGAGGGTGTACAAGTTCATGGAGAAAACGCCAATGATGAGGTCAGCACAGGCCAAGCTGAACAGAAAGTAATTGTTGACGGTCTGGAGGTGGCGGTTGACTTTGATGGAGACCATGACCAGTATGTTCCCAATAATGGTCACCAAACTGAGGGATCCAGCCACGAGAACAATAAACACAACTTCAAATGTCTTATAAGGACTGGCCAGAGCCAGGCCATTGTTAGAGGAGTTTGTTGAGTTGTTCATTTTGTGTTCTCTAATCAGTAGCCAAGTAGCCAAATAAACATCTAAACCTGTAAGGAAATAGAAAAAAAATTAATAAATATAAACATTATTTTAATATTGTTTTTTGAACCACATTTAACAAAATTCTTCTTTTTCCTACTTGTTTATTGTACCTTCCAGCCCCAAATAAAAGGATGATTCAAAAGATACTTTCAGGCTGGAGGTGTATTTAAAGTCTGATAATGTTTTGAATGTGATCATATCTAGATAAGAATATGTCTGTCATCTATCTATCTATCAATCATCTATCATCTATATCTCTATCATCAATAAAGTAAACTGAGCATAATGTTCATGAACTGAACTAAATAAACCAAAATTTATAGAAAACTTCACAAAGCATCAAGAAGTTTCTGGTATGGACAAAAGATATAAACCAACGAGAGGACAAAATTATGGAAGAAAGCATAAAACTTATGATATTGAGTTGTGGCTTTTATAGTCAATAACTGCTTTATACCTGGTAGCTCTATGACTATTTATAAAACTAATGATGATAATAAAGATAATATAATAACACCTTATTAGCCAATACCCTTTACCCAATGAGTATTATTTTCTTGACTTCTGTTTTACACTTGCAGTCAGTATCACATATTAGCATTTCTAATATTCTACATATTGCAAAAGAAGTTATTTATTAAAATACTAGAGGCCTGATGCACGAAATTCATGCAAGAGTAGGCTTTCCTTTCCCTGGCTGCCGACACCAGCCTCCCTCAGGCTGCCGGCAGACACCTGGGAACCGGCTTTATCTGGAAAGTTGTCCAGTCTAATTAACATATTATGCATTTATTATTATAGATATATTGATACTATTGTATCAATTTTTGAGTGTTTTATTTTTCAAGTTACTCTCAGTATGTTGTCCTAGCTATTTCAAATGTATTGCTCCTAATTCCATAGTGAGCAAATCATGGCATTCTTTTCTTAAATGTTTTTCTAGTAAATGGCATGAAGATTGCTTTAAACTGCTTGAAATGGTATTGAAATGAAATTTTCACAACATGTCATGAACTTGCATATGAATGTCCCTATTGTAAATGCCCAAGAGTGAGAGCACTGGATCAGGGCTGGGTATAAGCTTTCTTCTGAGGGCCCCTATATTGTTCCCCTGGATGGTGGCCACAGATCCTACCCTGATCAGGTCAATCCTATTTCTCAATAACCTTCAAACAATTGTTATGCATCTTCCTAATGTTTGCCTACCCGAGGGAAGTAAAAAGTATAGCTTTTGGTTTTAATTTGTATTTTTCTGATTACTAGAGAGGCAGGTTCCTTTTAAGGGCTGTGGAATTCTTACTCTGGTAGATCATAGTAAATGTTAACATACTTAGTTGTTATCAGGTCCTCTAAATTTTTGGTTATAATATTTACTTGTTTCTATTAACGCTATCTGTAAAAATGAAAAACATTTCACTTAGAAGCAAGCACAGTGTTAGAAGGATGACATTTCTTTCCCCTCATGTGATACACAAGCTATGTGAAGTCTGTTCTAGGAAAAAAGTTTCCTTTTGTCAACCTCTTGTCAAGCTCTTGCCACCTCTGCTGTTTACATTTCTATAAAAGTTTTACTTCTGGTGCAGGCCTTATTAAAACAATAATAGTTATATCATTTATGAAATAACATAGTCACAACAGACTAAACAATGAAGATGACCTTCAGAAGACTTAACATTTTACTATGGCAAGTATATAATAGTTGGTTTGGTATTTTATGATGTTAGTTTATGACTAAGTCCTGAAAGTACTATAGAAACTTATGATAAAAAAAATCCCTGCCCTTAGCTTTCACTACTTGAATTCCTGTATTTATTCTTACAAAGTTGTGGGTGGTAATATCTATTCTAAATGACTAGCTGGGTGAATCTGATCATGTCACTTAACTTCCATGAACTTTAATTTTATTTCTTTTTCAAGCAGGGATAATAATAATGATTTTTCTTCTAGAGGTAAGGATCAAAGTGATATAATGTCTCTGAACCATGATCTATAAATGTTAAGCATTTAATATGTGTTTTTAATGTCCATAGTTGTTAAAAATGTACAAGTTAATTACCTTTTTAACAGTAAAAAAAAATTTGTAAGTGTGTGTGTTTATGAAATAGATTCAGTTTAGGGTGTAGTGATAGAGGCAATAGTAAATTATCATTACCAATGATATTAAATTATCAGTAATTTTGAATTGTAAATGACAATAATATTGATAATAATGAACATATACTGCGCATGGTTACTCTTCACAGAAACTCCTGAGGTGATTTGTGTTATTATTATATTTTTTTTTTACAAGCATCAAATTAAAAATAAAATAATTATGTTATCTGAGATTCAAAACCTCTGTGCCTAACTCCAGATACTGCTATATTTAATGCTTGTCTGAGGGACAATCTTACCCAGCAGCAAATGTGTGCCCCAAGTATCCCCCCCTCTGACTTGCCATGATTAAGCCCTCTGCCCCAATTTCCAGTTGGCTCTTTGGTTTAGGCAACACAGGATCTTTGTGTCTAGGCTAAAATTGTGACTTTGGGCAGAAATATTCACAAGAAGACACAGGGTTAGTAAGTAGTGTTCTGCACATTAAAATATATGACATTTAATATAAACATTTTCTTAAAAGTAATCATCATAAAAATATGTCACCTTGTAAATTGATATATAACCTCTAATAAAAATAATCAAATCAATCATATAAACATTCTAAACATTTACGGTAACATATTATGAAGTTATAGAGAGAATCCTAATTAAAATGATTTTAAAAATTTGGATATGTATTTAAATACATAGTGGAAATTAAATTAAAAAATGCAAATTTTATCCATACTCTGCCCAAGTTATGCAGGATACCTGATGCATAATGATCACTTCATAGATGTACCCACAATGTAATATGCTAATAAAAATTTATCAATATATGAATAACTTAAGTGATAGAATTTTTTGCACTTTAGTACATTGAGTTCTCACAACAACCCTGAAAAAAGTATCTTTTTCAGTTTTACAGATAACAATCCTATCTAATAAAAGAGTAATATGCAAATTGACTATACCTCTGCTACACCACAAGCCACAACCACCAGCCAATCAGGATCAAGTACACAAATTAACCCAACCAAGATGGCTGCAGCCACAGAGTGAACAGGAGGCTTGGGTTTCCCTGGCAATAGAGGAAGTCAAGCTTCCTGCACAGCCTGGCCAGCTCAGGCCTTCGTTCAAGGATACAAAATTTCAATTATATAAGATAAATAAATCCCAGATACTGGGGCCTCCACTTGGGTTGCTGGGTGGCGTGGTCGGCCTGCAAACCACCACAGACCCCTCTCCCAGGCAGCCCCTCACCCCAAGGGAACTCCCACCCTGATCCAGGACACCCTTCTGGCCCCCACCCATGCACCAGGCCTCTATCTATCCTACATAATAAAAGAGTAATATGCAAATTAACCATCACTCCAATACACAAATGGTTGCCCCCATGTGATCAAAGATGGTTGCCTCCCCCAAGTGAACACAAGATGGCCAGCAGGGTAGGGCAGTTGGGAGGGACCAGGCCTGCAAGAAAAGGCAGTTGGGGGTGATCAAGCCTGCAGGGGAGGGCAGTTAGGGGTGACCAGGCTGGCAGAGGAGGGAAGTTAGGGACAAACAGGCTGGCAAGGGAGCAGTTAGGCATCAATCAGGCTGGCAGGAGAGTGGTTAGGGGGTGATCAGACTGGCAGGCAGAAGCGGTTATGGGCAATCAGGCAGGCAGGCAGGCAGGAAAGCAATTGGGAGCCAGCAGTCCTAGATTGTGAGAGGGATCCCAGATAAGAAAGGGTGCAGACTGGGTTGAGGGACACCCTTTCTCTTCCTCCTCCATGCACCAGGCCTATAGTAATCAAATAACTGGCAAGCACCTGGTAATACCTGATTCTTAGGGCTACAATCCTTCCATTTTACCAGACCTGATTCCTTGTTTTTAAAGTTTTTTGAAGAATAAGAAAAGTTGGGAAAAAAGGAATTCATGATTGATAACAATTGGAATCCAGAGAGAGAGAATATATGTGATTGTATAACAAAATTTCAGAACAAGAAATCAATAGAAATTCCCATGAGGTTGAATTTATGATTATTTATGTTTATTTAGCTTTTGTTTTTAAAATGTAATCTTGGTGTATATACTTTATACAGTGTTCTAATTTCTGCTGCTACTCGAATACATTACCAAAACCAGCAAGGTGTTTTGGGTGTTTTCTGTCTCTCTTTCTGACATTGATCTCTGAAAAGCAGCCTACTTGTTGGTCAGACACTAGAGATAAAAATTATCAGCCTCACCAGTGTTGCCTGAAATTCTAACTGATAGAATAAATAAGGGCCTTAAGAGCTTTTTAAACTGTATGTTTAAGGGCTGAAAAGCACACTCTGTCCTGAGGTAAATAAAAGTTTACTTCAACAATATTATGCCTAGATATCTAGCTTTCAATAGAAAATGCCACTCTTAGAAAAACCATGAAAAAAAGGCGGTAAAGTAAAAGTTGACTGCCATTGGAAGTGAGACTATACTTACTGAGGAACTAGGTGTGATAGTCTAGGAGTCTTACCCATCATCTCTTGTCTGCCCGAAAAGTGAGCTGTGATAATTTTATATGGCATAATCACCAAGTAAGCAGCAAATGAAGTTTATTTATTTTTAATTTTATACAATGGAAGGGATAACCACTGAGGTATGTAGTCTATATTCTGTTTTAGATCTCCTAAACTTTCAGATAATTCCACAAATTTATAAACAGCTTTGGTGTTGGTATTTAATAGGCTTTGAAGTTGTTCTTACATCAATAATCAGTCATTCCTGCCATCAATGATGTTGGAGAGAAGGAGGAAGAAAAGAGACTTGAGAAGAGACATTTTAAGGAAGTCTTGGGGAGCCAAGTCCCCTTCTCTGAAGGAAGGTTCCATCACCCAGTTGTGATATTGATGCAGTAGAAGGTAACACAGTTTGCTTATATTAGGATGACACATACGAGTGACTTTC